GCCGCTGGCGACGCGCTGCGCGTCAGCGAGACCCTGGCGCACGGCCTCAGGCGAGAACTGGTCGAGCTTGAACGCCTCGACAGCGTTCACAGTGAGAGTGTTGCTGGGGTGGATGATGGCAAAGCCGCCAGAGACTGTGGGTTAGCAAACAAAGACGCACCAAACCACTTCTTGCTGGTGCCGGAGGTCTCAATAACCTCGAGCACACCGGGGCGGAGCTGCTCCACAGTAGGGATATGCGCCGAGAGAATACCGAGGTCACCAGTGGTGGCCGAGACGTTGACCTGAGTAACCTCAGCAGCGTCGTAGATAGCCTAGGGTCAGAAAATAGAGCTCACCTCGTGGGGGAGGACGAAGCTGAGCTTGAGCTTGTCGCTCACAGCCTCAGCATATCCACGGCGGGCACCGGCGAGCGAGAGCGCCGGGCGGATGCTGGCGGAGCGCAGCGAACGCGAAGCGAGGGCAAACACCATCGTATCCAACTAGCAGGATTCCGCTGGCGCTGCCCGGGTCCAGCGCGGCATCGGCCGAACTCCGGGACATTTCGGTAAGGCCACGTGCCTCCACCATGTACACCTGTGAGCGGTGTGCGCGCCCCATTGCGCTCAGTGACGGGGTGGCTGGCAGGAAGAAGCAGTGCATCGGCGCGGACACCAGCACAGATGCTAATGGTAATACTGATGCTGAGCCAGGCGTAGCAGGGCCATCCAGCGAAACTAATCTGGATGTGGATGCACGCCTGGCCTACGTCGGCTCTACAGAAATACGCACTGCGCTTGCGCGCCTGGTAGATGTTCCGACCGCAGGACCGTCACCAAAACAGCGCAGGATGTACAGCCTGTTTGATGCACTATCGTCTGCGCCGGGCCAGCCGCCGATCGACCACCCCCTGTGTGAACGGTGTGCCAAGACGGTCATAGCGCAGCTCACAGAGGAGACTGTTGGACTCAAACGCGATCGCGACATGCTCACAGCCGCCGCTGATGCCGCAGAGCGTCCTGCCCCTTGCACAGCTGATGATACCCTGACAGAATACCGCCGTGCAATGGATGAGCTGTGTGCGCTCGATGATGCACGTGACGCGCTCGGCAATGCCGAGAAAGAGCTCGCGACACAAGAAGCCGCATTGGACAGGGAGGAGCGAGAGTTCGTACTTGCATGCTGACAGTGCATACCACGCGTTCACCGACGTGTCGCTGCGTGTGGATCAGCTCGAGAACCGACTCGCCTCAATATCGGCCAAAGAATCCCTGGCGAAGGAGACGTGCGGCCGTCTAGGCACCACAGATGCATATGCTGACGCTTTCGAAATCGATATCGGGCGTACACATGCGACGATCAACGGCCTGCGGCTCGGAAGACACGGCCGTGAGGCCGTCGGCTGGGACGAACTGAACGCGGCGCTCGGACAGATGGCGCTGCTTGTCGATGTCCTTGCCCGCAGGATGGGCGTCGTGTTTGACGAGTATGTACAGCATGCGCTTACAGCTACCGCATCATTCCCCACGGGTCTACCTCGCGTGTTGAGAGGCTCCAGCCAGAGCCTGCCTCGTATGAACTGTGCGTGTCCGCTGACAGTTTCGGAACCAGCGAGTGGCACATTGGCCGACTGCTCCACTCCCGTCGCTTCGACCATGCGGTGGTAGGCGTTCTTACCTGTGTCAAGCAGCTCGCCGACCATGCGACCCGCCGCGACGAGACACTGCAGCTCCCATATACGTGCGTTGCTGCGCCTGCTAACCAGCATCGACCGGGACTGCATTGGTGGCGCGCTCATCCGTCTGCAGTTCAGCCAGCCAGAGGTGTGGACGCGCGCAATGTCGCACCTATTGGCCACGTGCGTAGTTTGCTGACGAGGCTCCGTGCACTGCTGCAGTGGAGTAGCTCCACATAGTCACGTGTATGTGAAAGTACTTCTGCGTCTTCTAGAGTTGGCGACGACACCAGCATGCCAATTACACAGTCTGGTCACCCTGGCCAGGACCATACTCGTGACCCATGCCCATGGGTCATCCTGAACGACTTTGGCGGTGCCTTCGCAATGGGCTGCATCGGTGGCACTATCTGGCACGGCATCAAGGGTGCCCGCAACTCGCCGCGTGGCGAACGCTTCCTCGGCTCGGTGTCGGCGATCAAGGCCCGCGCGCCCGTGCTCGGTGGCAACTTTGGTGTGTGGGGTGGTCTTTTCACCTCGTTTGACTGCACTGTGAAGAGTGTGCGCCAGAAGGAGGACCCGTGGAACGCCATCATCGCTGGCTTCTTCACCGGCTCGACGCTTGCTATCCGTGGCGGCCCCAAAACCGCGTTCGGCGCAGGCGTCATGTGCGGTATCCTCCTCGGTGTCTTTGAGGGTGTCGGTGTGCTCATGCAGCGCCTCCTCGCGGAGAACAACAAGCCCGTTGCACCCATCATCCCCGAGGCTCCCGCGCTTCCCAGCAAGTAGAAATGCAACTATATCCGCTATCAATCTATCTCGGCGAAACTTGTCCAGCCTCCCGCGACGATACATGTGGCGCGGGCGTCCCCTATGATCAGCTTGGGCTCATCGGCGGGAGTGCCCCCTTTGCCACCCAACTCACAGTGATCGTCGGAGCCTATTCCCCACACTGTGCCGTCAGAGAGGCGCAGCAGCGTGTGTGACGCGCCACAGGCCACCTCGACAACGTCATTGTCGACCTGGTCGTCGCTCAGCAGCACCGGAGTCGGCTCGAGTGTGCACTCTTGAAACGGGTCCCAGCCCCAAAAGTAGACATTCCCGTCGTCAGCTAACGCCACGCTGTGGCGATTGCCAGCACAGATATGCGTGATGCGCCCCTCAAACAGTTCTTTGGGCGAAAAGAACGACACGGGCACCGCTGTAGTGCTGCCGAGGTCGTGGTGGCCCAGCTGGCCAAAGCGGTTGTCGCCGAGGGCATAGACTTGCGTGGGGGCGTCACATATGAGAGAGAAGTGTGCGCCGCCGCCTGCGACCCTTGTGCATGGCGGAACGTCTATACGATTTCCACCGCTGCCGCTTACGCTAGCACTGTGCCATTCCAGGGGCGAATTGAACTGCCACACGCTGCCATCCCGTTGAATTGCGACTACGCGTCCGTGCGCGTCGCATGCAGCATCACGCCACCGCTGACTTGTTGGCGAGCCGCTGAATATGTTTCCGTAGCGTGAAGATCCGTCTGGGGCAATAGCAGCGGCAATCACATCGTGGCCGAGAACGCGTCGAGGGAGCGACTCGAATACATCGGCAGCCACATTCGCGTCACGATGGCCGCCCACGTAGACCCGACCCTCGTCGGCCAAAGCGCACACCACCTGCGTCCGCGAAGCATAGCATAGCCGGCTGCCCTTGATTCGCACTGGATCTGCCACTCTCAGGCTATCTACATCCAGCTGGCCAAACAGGCTGGAGCCCCAACCACGTACATGCATGTACGTAATTAATTCTTTCACATGCTCCGCATCGCGCGTGCAACCAGGACCTTCGCGCAGGTCCGGAGGCTCGCCACACGTGCAAATGGCCTGCTCTCCGAGCTCGAGGCACGCGGTCTAGTCCAGGAGACTACGTCGAGCGCGCTGCGCACCCACATCGACACTCGCGCTGACGACAAACTCGTCCAACGCACAATATATTCAGGCGTCGACCCAAGTGCGCAAAGCTTGCATGTCGGTAACCTGCTTCCCCTGCTGGGCCTGCTGCACTTTGCACGACACGGCCACCGCGCGCTAGTGCTTGTGGGCGGTGCGACCGGCGCGATCGGAGACCCTAGTGGCCGCTCCTCTGAGCGTTCGGCGCTCGACGCTGAATGTCTCGACGCGAATATGCGCGCAATCCGCAAGCAGGTGCGCGAGTTCTTTGTGAATGCGAATGCGTACCTTGCGCGGCGTGGCCGGTCCTCAGCAAAGCCGCTCGAAGTTACGCAAGACGCGATCGCAAGTGCCCGTCTCTTTGATGGACTCGACATCTGGCTGCTGAACAACCTCGAATGGACGCAGGACGTGTCTGTGCTCGATTTCCTTGGCCGCGTCGGCCGCTACGCGCGAGTGACAGACATGCTGGCACGAGACAGCGTCAAGAGTCGTCTCACGTCTACCGACTCGTCCGGACCAGTCGGCCTTTCTTTCACGGAACTCTCGTACCAGCTGCTGCAGGCATTCGACTTTGACGTGCTGCATACCAAGTGGAACTGCTCGATCCAGCTCGGCGGCTCTGACCAGCTGGGCAACATTAGCGCAGGCATCGACCTGATTCGTCGGCGTCTCGCAGCGGCAGGGACTGATATGAAGGCGGAGCCGGCGTATGGCCTCACTCTGCCTCTGCTTACTACGGCCTCTGGCGCAAAGTTCGGCAAGTCTGCTGGAAATGCAGTGTGGATCTCCAGCGAGCTGCTCTCTGACTTTGACTTTTACCAGTACTTTATGCGCAGTTCCGACGCCGATGTCGGCCGCTACATGCGCACACTCACGCTGATGAACCATGAAGAGATTGAAGCCGTGCTTGCCGAACATGCCACGGAGCCATCGCGGCGCATCGCACAAACGCGACTTGCTGACGAGATGACCGAGCTCGTCCGTGGCGTCGACGCCGTCCGCCGCGCTCGCACTGCGACAGGCGTCCTGTTCGGACGCAATGTTTCTGAGCTCAGTGTGGACGACGTGTTGAGCACCTTTGACGGCGACTCGCGGCTTGTGCGCATTTCGCGCGACGAGTGGGTGAACAGTGAGCTGCTGTCACTCTTGGTGCATGTCCGCCTGGTCAAGTCAAAGGGCGAAGGCCGTCGCCTGATCCAAAATGGAGGCGTCTATGCCAACGGCACTCCTGTGCAAGACGTGGGAGCCACTTTTGGCCAGGACGCGCTACTCCACAATACATTTGCTGTGCTCCGTGTGGGCAAGGCGAATCACCGCATTGTCGTTGTAGAGTAAAGCTATCAACCAGAAAAAAAAGAGAATGAACATGTTCCTATTACAATATCAGCACATCAGCGCGCAACTCGGCAACTTGGGCGGCTATCGTCTAGTGGTATAGGATCTCACCTTCCCATAAGTGGCGCTACAGTGCGGTAATAGGTGAGGACGCGAGTTCGAACCTCGCTGGTCGCACCTTTTTGCTCCTACAGACGCGCACGCAGCACACCTTTCGCGAGTGCAGAAGCGACTTCGGCGCCCTCCTCGTCAGTCAGCTCTCCGCGGCGGCCCAAAAGTGACAGCTGCTGCGAGGAGTTCCATTTTTGCAGCAGGTCGGATGATTCCACCGCGAATGGCGCGGGCACAATGTGAAAATGGACCTGGTCAGCACAACAGCAAGCAGCAAACGCACATGGTCGACAGTCTGAGCATATTCTTGGTTTGCGGCGACCTGCAGCGCGCCAGAGCCAGTCGCTGCGTAAGCACAAACGCACCTGCTTCGATGCCCCGACAAACATCGATCACGCCCTGCATCACGCCAGCGGCCTGTGCAGGAGCCAGATGCGCGATACGCGGGCAATGCGCCTTGGGCACTACAAGGGTGTGGCCAGGTTAGACAGCGTGCACATACCTGTGCGGATAGGAAGCACATCCAGGAACGCAATATAGTCATCAGTTTCAGCGACAATGAAGGCCTCATGCCGGCGCTCGATAATGTCGCAAAAGATGCAGTCGCCAGGCTCGGCGCGTATCGCAGGAGTGTCGCGCGCGAGACGGTCAAGCAGGTGAGAAGTCATAGTGGCCCGTTGCTGACACGACACGGCTAGCTGGCTACGAGCGGAAGCGGCACGCGTGACTATTGCTAAATTGCACTTATTTTGTAATTATGCGCGGCGCGCCGCACATTGGCGCGTCGGACGCGGCGACGCGTGCGGCCGGCCATACACCCGACCCCAATAGACGCCGCAGTTCCACGAGCGAGTCTTACGGGTTCGCACTGTACATCTTTGCGACTGTATTCTGGCTCGTATGGGTTATTTGGGCTGCTACTCCTGAGTGGCTGCTGGCCAGCGCAGGGATCGAATGGTTCCCCAGTCGGTGCGGCGTCGGCGCTAACACAGTGAATGGGCGTATCTGATCATTGCATGGACTCTAGTGCTTGTGCTGAGTGTGTACGCGGTGTTTATGTCGCTCAATATCGCGACGGCACCCTCGCTAGACGACCTCGCAGTCGTGACAGGTGCGCGATGGCTGACAGATTCGCGGGCAAACATCTATCCAATCGCGCGCACGGGCACTGCCGCCCACCCACTAGATGGAGCAGACATTACAGAAAGCGGCAGGAGCGGCGCGCCGCTGTGCGACGATATCTACGATATTTCACCGGGCGTCATTTCTCGCGCGTTGTATATGTCATAATGTAGTAATAGCATGTGTATATATGGTTGAGTAGTGGATCTATCGTACGCGTGTACCGTGTACCGATTTACCAGGCAGGGTCGGAGCCAGTGCACTCGCGGCACCAGGTGTAGTGCTCAGCGTTGCGGTCAGTGCAGCCAGTAAAGCCAAAGAGACGGAAGCAGTCGATGTACGACATGGCGCAGCGGTAGCACACGTCGGCGTCGCGCGAAGCGAGGGTGTTGTCAGCGGCGACGAGGGCAACGAGGGCTGCGAGGGCAAAGAGAGCGGCAAAGAACTTCATGATGATATGTGTTGGTTAAGGTGGGTGGGGATAGCACGGGTGGGGTCTAGGCACTGGAATGTACGATTCCGGCCGAGTAAAAAATTATCTTGGCATCTGCATAAATTACTTACTCATATGCCCCACTCTCGCATGATGCAGGAGCGCGGGTCCGTGCGCCATTTGGTACAACCGTCCGATACGTCGTGAGTTCCTGCTCAAGTCGTGTAATGCGGTGGGCCAGCTGGTCGCGCTCTAGACGCATTGCGACCAGCTGATTCATGTTGCCGCGAATCTCTGCGACGCGCGACTTGGATCTCGGCGACAAGTCCTGCGCCAAAAGCTCGGCATTGACGCGTGTCAGCTCATTCTCGCGGTCCTCTGCGAGCTTGGCGACCTGCGCAAGCAAGCGCACCTGCTGGCAGCGCTCCTCGTACGCCTCTTGGTACCAGCTCACGCGATCGAGCTCCTCAACGAGCTGCTGCATGTCGTACTCTTGAGCCAGATGTCGCACACGCGTGTCTTGGAGCTCAGCAGCGAGCGCAGAGTACTCTGCAGACTCTTCAGACTCGCGTGCCGTGTTCCACGCGTTCTCAGCATCCAGCCAACGTGAGCACAGTTCAGCGGCGTCTGCGTTAGTCTCTGCCAGGCTTGTGCGGAGCGAGTCGATCTGCTCAAGCGCCGCGCTGTAGAGGCCTGCATAGTGCTCAACATCAGCCTCCAAAGCAGCGGCACGTGATTCACTCGCTCGTTGTGCACGCTCAGCGCGTGCAAGGCGTGTCTGCAGCTCCCATATCTCCTTTGCGTGTCTGTCTTTCTCCTGCTGGCGCATGCGACTCGCACAGACGGTCACAGCACAGACATTCCGAGCACCGCTTGCAGTTGCGTACTCGTTCTCCTCATGGAGCTCCTGGATCTCGCGCTCCAGCTCGACAATGCGTGCCGCGTCATGGTCTGCCCGCTCACGCAGCCTGCACAGCTCGCCACGGCGTATGCCGTCCTTTGGCGGCGGCTCTTTATTTTCCTGAGCACGCGCACGGTATCGTGCAATTACATGCTCGTGCTTTTCGATAGTGGCCTTGAGCCGGAGTTCGCGCTGTCGCGACAAATCTGGTCAGCACACTGTATGGAGTGACGTACGGAGCTCTGTGCGCAGGTCGTCGCGTTCGTTCTGCACCTCGTACTTTTCATGTTGGATATCTTCGAGACGCGCCTCGGTCGTCTTTTGCCGCTGGATTGCGATGTTTTCTCTCAGTGTCTCCTCTAGCACACGTCCAGTGCTCTGTCGTGGCACGCGAGCTGGTCAGCCTGGTCCGGATCAACGTACCACTCTGTGGAGTGTAGCTTATGCGGGGTCGCGAGCTCTGAGGCGTAGTAAATATGCTTGGCTGGGGTAATCTTGAGCGCGGCGTTTCAGTATGAAGTGGTCGTGGAATGCGGGATACTGCAGGCGACACCAGGTCGCGCCTCCGCGGCCGCGACGGCGTCTGCAGCGCCGTCGGCGGCACGTTTTCGCGAGCCGCACCGACGGTGTTCATATGGAGGGGACAACAACACTACTTTCGCGTCTGTCACGTGAGGGTATCTAGGATGCGAACTTGCGCTGAAGCAGCGAGCCAACGAGTCTGCGTGGCTCAGCGCGCGTCTCTGGAGCGGGCGCCGCGGTCTCTGCACGCGCCCGGGCCTTGTTTCCACTTCGTCTGCGGTCAAGGCCGGCGTTTCCACCGCGCACCTGGCGCCATTCAGGCTCGTTGCTGAACTCGGCCAGCAGCATTTCGCGACGAGCCTTTTGCTCGTTGGATAGCGCATCAGGATCCAGCCTGTGGGCATTAAATAGTAGACGGGCATGTTCATCGTCATCATGCACAGCTTCAGAAGCGCGTGCAGACGTTTTTGAGGCTTCGCGAAGCGCGACAGGCGCATCCTCGTCGTCAGACCTCAGCTGCGGCGTCTGCTCACGCTCCTCCAGCCGGTGCCGCAGGAGCTCTTCACGCAGCTCCCGCGCAGTAACAGTCGTGCGAGGCGCCTCCTCATCACTGGAGGGCGCCTCGTCCAGGAATTCGTACTTGGCATAGTCGTCAGCACTCGTGTGCGTCTCCGTGTACTGGCGGACAAATGCCTGCGTGTCTTCGCGCGCGGCAAGAACATCCATCTCATCACCGTCAATGCGCCGGCGCTTCGTCTGGAAGCGTGGCGCACGCAGCCGACGGCGCAGCTCGTCCTCGTCAGCGTCGTCGTCAAGCATCTCGCCCAGCCCATCGATGCGGCCACGGCGGCGACTGCGAAGCATACCCTTGGCTGCCCGCTCATGCAGCGCCTGCACCGCCGCATCGTCTTCTTCGCGATGCTGCATGTAGCGCTTGTGGGCGAGGATGTCTTTCGTCTCTTCGTCCTCGTCACGCTCGTCGTCCAGCAGACTCTCGAGGTCCGCATCGTCGTCAGAGTCCTCTTCCTCGCCCTCAGAGGCTTCCTTATCGCTAAAGATGCCCGCGAGACCGCCGTGCGCATCGTCGCGAACGCGATCCTCCTCGTCAGACTCTTCAGCCTCGCCAAAGACAAACGCGTTGCTGCGAGCGCGGCGGGGCTGAGGGGGCTGAGGCGCATCCTCTGCTCCTGATCCCGCCTCTATTGCGTCAGTCTCGGCGTCAGAGTCGGCCTCTTGCAGTCCAGCGGCACTCTCAATATCAGAGTCATTCTCGGGCGCCTGCTCGGACTCGACATCTGAATCGGCAGCCAGAGGCGCGCCGGCTTGGCGCTCTCTCGCGTCCTCGCCATCAGACACGGGCTGCCCAGTCGGCTGCGCAAAGTCATCCATCTGCGACGGAAGGAGCCACTGCCCCCGGGAGCTCGTCGCGCCGGGCTTTGTCTGCGTAAAGAAGCCATCCTGGTTGAGATAGAGCGTGTCGGAACGGCGCTCAGACGCAGCCGCGCGGAGAGCCTCCTGAGCGAGAGACGGATCCAGCGAGGGGAGGTCCACTGGCGAAAGCAGCTGCTCGGCGTCGACTTGCTCCCGCTCACGCAGCGCAGCAAAGGCGTCGCCACGCACAACGCTCTCGAGACGACGAGCGGTCCCTCCGACGGGGCCGTCGCGACGCTGGTTAGAGAACAGATCGAGCGATGCGCCTCTCGGCTGGCCGTCCTGCGTGCTCACGAAGAACTGCGCCAGCACTGACGACTCCGACTGGTGGCTGCCCAGTGTCGCAGCAGGCGGGTCTCCGCTTTCGGCTGCCACGTGCTCCGGCGCCTGTGTAGGCACAAAGAAGCGGCCGAGGTCGCCGTCGTCGTTGAAGACGTCGCCATCAGCGTCGCCATCGTCAGCTGGGCGAGGAAGGGGGATGTTTTCCTTCTCGCTGCTGCCGTCGCTCCGTGGCGACAGCGGCTCTTGACGTGGGCGACGCGCATTGCGCGCTGCATTCTGCTCCTGCGTCTTGCGGAGCAGCGTCGCGTTGAACTGCTCCATATTCATCAATACAGGCGCAACCCTTGGGCTGTGGCGCACGCGGGGGCGCGCGGG